CCGCAGCATTCGGTGGCAGCCTCGAGTATGCCATCCTTAAAGAGGTGCCACTCGGTTTCCACTTCGGTGGTCATTACAGGGGTCAGTTGAAACCGCTGTTTGCAAATTTCGCTCTCGTGTCCACCAGAAACAGTGCTTTCCATTCGATTTCCTGGTTGCTTCTGCTACCAGATCGTCGCAACAAGGTGATGATCGGTTGACCGCTCTGCGTCTCTCTTAACGCGAACATCCGTCACAGAGCGTCTTAAGTCAGACGATACGGTTATCAAATCGATCATCGACTTCTGTGCACAAGCTTCCCGGTACCAGGTGTACTGATGCACATTTCGATCTCGAAGAAGGTGTTCATAATGGTCAATCCGTTGTTTGCACAAAATCGCAACAACTTCATGCCTTTATTGTTGAGGTCGAAGGGGCCGTTCTTCCCAATCACGCCTTTCTACTTTTCAGTGTTTAACCGAACATACGCGCCAAAGCAGTCCGTCAGGGCACTGTTCAAAGCACCATCTACTCCAGTGAGGAAAAACTCACATTCTCGTCCCAAATTAGGCATAGAGACCTGCAGCACTGTCAAAGTCTTATCATGTTGTAACTTCGGTCATATGACTGCCAGTACCACTGGCAGGTCCTCATTCAGTGAGTCTGTGAGCAAGGTTCGGCTGCAACGGAACATCAACACCGGCCTAAACGCAGGAAGTGTAACGTGAGTAGAATAGCTTCCACCTGCAGAGGTTAAGAATTTCGGAGCCTGGCACTTCGCTGACGAGAGTCCTAATACGCCCAAATGGTACCTTGCGGCCTCCTCATCCAGCTCCTGATCTTTCCCCGTTTTCGAGTGTCAGCTTCCAGTGGCTGTGTCGTTTCCATGGAGTCCACCCTTGCTTGCTACAATGACACTGCGCTGTCTGCCCTATCCGTTCAGAACGGATAGCGGCTCTGTTGTGGAATAGTCATTGTCCATCTTCGGCAGTCGTGCTGCTACGTCCGTAGATTTTTCGCAATATGATCCAGTTCCCAACAGTCTGCTCAGCCCTTTCTAGTCCAGGCGAAGACCGAGCCTGCGAGGTGTTAGATAATGGCGGTACGATGAGGGACAGCTGGATAAATTTAACGGGACACTTTGCTACGGTCCCTAACCATCTATCAATCTCGTCCGAGCCTGGGACCGGCAGGGGCGGAGTTGTGCCATATTTGTCATGTAAGTGAATGAATACCACGGATCGGTGGCCATCACAGCGCATAGCGTCCTACTTCCTTCGCAGGTCACAAAACCCAGAAAGACGGAGGGCGAGAGACCTGACAGAGATTCGAACCCACGGTTACGTCATTGTGGTTAGGGGGCCTACCGCTGTCCATCTTCATCGAACGAACACATACGTCGATCAGCTCTTTGCCACTGATACAAACCGACCTGTCAACGAGCCGCGTCAGAAAGTTTTCCACACCTTCCCTCCAGAGACCTTTGGTATTCAGCGGTACTGCGTCGATGGCAATTCGACCTCTACTGTGCAACGCCACGTGATGCATGAAAACACAACGCATGCCATGAAATCATCAACTTGCGCATTTTTTGACGATGAATAACGGCAGTTCACAGAGCCGATGTGCTCAGTGAAATTCGAGGAGGAGCACCGAGTCGGAAACTCAAACTCGTCTCGTCTATGGTGACAACGGCGAACAAGGGATAGCTTCGCCAGTCAGCAAGAGGGTTATGACCCACCCTGGGTAATTGTAGGAGCTGCGATAATATCGCTACCGTTCTACCAGCCACAAAGCAAAGCAGGAAAGCAATAAGCAGCTCATCGAATTGTATATACAATGTAGTAGCAAAATCTGAACTAGCGCCATCGCAGTAGTTTTTCAACTGTCGGAAGTCGTGCATGAGCAACAAACACGCATCCAATTAACGGATTTCCATAAAAAGC